TGTGTTGTAATTTAAGTACATTTTATGTTTGTCATCTCCCTGCAGAAGCCAAAGATTTAACAGAACATCTGAGCAGGGAAGCCTTCAGTTCACACAGCGCCTATAATAGTCAATTCTGATCCAAGTCTTTAACAAGTATTTGTCTTGAGGAGGAGGAGGAGGAGAAGAAGGTGTTCCTCATGTTGATGTGCTTGCTATCAAATATATGGCACCATGCCCTTTCTATGAGTTTGGGGAGGAACACGTGCAAGATCAATAAATGATTGATGCCTTTCTAATTCAGCAGTTTTCTCAGCTGATACATGTCTTTCCTCTTATTTGTAATGATTCCCAGAGTCATGGGGAAGATCAGATGCAACAGGGCTCAAATAACCCAAAAAGATATGGCATGGCTTTGCAAATTCTGGTTTTCAAATCTTGTGCACCAGCTACCTAATACAGTTGCCTCATTCAGGCAGTAGACATAGGCCACATATAGACCTTCAGGTTCTCCTTGATAAAGTTGCTGTTGTCCCAGGAGAAAACACAAGTATACAGATGTTCAGGATTTTTCTCCTAGAGCAAAAATAGCCACTCCAGGAGAGAACCCAGGAACAACAGGGTTAAATTACTCCTGGGAGAGCAAATGTCTGGACACATTCTGTTCTGAGTGGGGTTGTAGTATAGTCCTTCCAGGTGCCTTGTCCCACCCCTTCACCCAGGAGACATGGTTGCTCACTGAACTCTACTGCTCCAGCCAAGCAGGAAGCGAAATATGCCCCCTTCAGAATTCCCACCCCCTGCTGGAGGGAGCCACAGGTTGAAACCTCCCAAGGGTAGCATCTGGATGAAATATCTCAAGAGAAGTTGTTCGGTGGAGTTTCAGTGTAAGATGTCCTCTGCTCTGAGACTATAAAGAACAGAGTGTGAGCTTGTTTTCTCATACTGAGCTGCTGGGAAAAACTGTGACCTGAGGCAGTCCACATTCCATTTGTTCTCTGCTACTTGTTAATTTTAAAGCATATGAGTCTATCTTTAAGTTTAATTAATTAAGGTTCATTTAGTAATCTCAGTTTGCAGTCTATTAATTCAAGGTATCTTCATTTTCTCCCATCAAGCAGTTAATAGATTTCTGAAAAACTACCTCGTGTATCCTCCAGTACATTCAGGGAACTTAAATTTAGTTCTTTCAGTGTTGATGTATCTAACATTAGAACTGCCATCTTGCTTACTCCATCATTTATCAGTGAAGGTAGCCTTTTTACTGACAATCACTTCAATTCAACTTGCTATCCATGTGTGAATACTTGAAGAAGGAAAAACTAAAGTAACTAGGCAAGCAAAAGAAAAGCTCTCATGTCATCCAATATACATGGTATTTCATTCAGGCGGAGTAACAATACAACTTCATCCCAAATTTATTTCAGAAGTGGCCCTGGACTTTCATATCACTAATTACACACTTGCATGTGTTGTTTCTCAAGATATCATTCATTTCAGAGTGAAGCATACCTTCATATGTGGATGTTAAGAAAGCTATCTTATACCATTTGAGTTGAATAAGATGCTTCACAGATCCCCTAGGCTATTGTGTCTTTTGGAAGCAGAGCCAAAAAACAGACCAGTTTCCACTCAGATTATCAAAGTGGATTGTAGATTGTATAAAATGGTTTGTATCAGAACAGCATGTAATATTAAATTTAATCTCTTGGCTCATGTGAGTGTTCATTTAACCAAGGCTCTGACTGCCTCGATACTATGTCTCAGGAGGGTTGCGGTGCTTGAGATCTGCAGAACAGTAACATGATCCTTTTATCTTTACCAGTGGCAGGATGAAGAGCAGGGCCTAAGAGGGAGCAGTTCTATCATTATTATTTAGTTGAATACACGTACAGATGCCAGAAAGGGTATGACAGTGCATAGATTACATAGATGTTCCCTGTGTGTATATATATATATATATTCTCCCTCTAAAGCATCTGCTAGAGTCACTATCTGAGAAATTGGTGATTGTCTGACTCAGTATGGCACTTATGAGGAAAGAGAAACAATTCCCTACCTTATGGTAGTTGTGGTTCTGCAAGAGGTTCTCTACTTCTGGATCTATGAGCCACCCTCCTTCCCCGCAGCTCAGAAACTTTTCATTTAATTGTGCACAGCAAAAGAACTGAACAGCTGTAAGTTCTGCTCCTTATACCCTTGGGGAGGGGAGGACAAAGGCTCCCCTTAAAATGTAACTTTCCTTTATGCTTTTACTAAACATAGGGCTGCGTGCTTATATTGCTAGAATCTGATTCTTGGCTTCCTTTGACACCCAGACTCCAATTTGATATTAAATTGGATGGGATATCACAGGTTTCTGTAATGATAACTTGATATATAGAAGCATAGAGAGATTATGTCCAAGGTTGAACCAGAAGTTAGTGGCTGAGTTAACAGTTTTCCTCTTTTACTCTGTATTTGAATCTGATAATGCTCTCAAACTGCAATATGTCTAACTGCTGCTGAAATGCAAAGTTTTCAGATAATATAATTGCACTGATTCATATATTATTATGTCACTGGAAAGACTCCCATTGGCTTCAAAGGTACCTGGATTGTGCCCTCCTTTGGGAATAATTCTTACCAGATAAAGTGCAGGTTTTGTGCATCTTTTCTGCCTATAAGTTAGGAGACTTCATGTTAACACTTGCTTTATGGTTATTCCATTACAATACATCATAATTTTACCTCATGTACTTTTAAAGGAATTCATGTATTCATATTTGTACTGAGCTATGTCCCTACTGGCACATAAATAGCATAACAAAACTGACCTGCCTGCATAAAGAACTTTGTTATGAATCTCCTGTTTAATATAACTGTTGCTTCTTCAGCAGTAGTTGGCTATCGTAAAAGATTATGGCCTCTTAACATGACAAGCAGAAGGATGAGTGTGATTATGAAAGAAACAGAATGAGAGAGAGTCAGCATTTTGTGTATATAAGCACCTTAGAGCAACAATCTGGAAAATTGCTTCAAAAAATTAATGGGTTTTTATTTATAAGTTGTGTGGTTTTGTTTTTATAGCATTTTATGATGCACATAATTTATGTTTAAAAATAGAAGATACAGAACAAATTCCAGGAAGAGCGCAATTGCTTATTTGTTCAGGTTTTCCTTTTGTTAACCTTCTTCCTATGCAATTCAGCAAGTTTTTTATTTTTTACCTTAATACTGGATTTCCCTTGTAAATGGGGGATTGACTCTTACTTTTATTTTTCTGCTGCTGTAAATTTAAAATACTGTACTATTCTTTTAAATGTCTTGTTGTGGGAAAAAAAATGATGTGAAAGAGGCAAAGTAAATTGGGATGCAATAGCAGCAGTGGAAAATATTGGGGAATGTCAGGCTTATTATATGTTTAAAATAGTTGTGAAAGGGAATTTATCCTTTAGTACCAATAAAAGTCACCCAGAGCCTAAGTGACCCATCAAACTAGCATGGTTAAGGCATGCTGCTTTCTAAAGCCCATGGCACACAAGGGTGTGATGTGCTTAGTATTGGACTTTTTCACCTTTGACTTCCCAGCACAAATGACCAGAACCCCAACTACAGCTGGTCAAGAGGGGGCATCCTTTTGGGCAAGTTCAACTTGATTTTCACACTTGTGCTTGTGAAGCTGTCATAAAATGCCTTAACTATGCTGCCATCATGCCCCCTAGCGTATACAGTATACCTTACTTGGAATCCTGCATTCATTACACCAACAATTCAGGAAAGTCAGTGGGTATCTTTCTTCATAGGATGTAGGACCTTGCACTGCATGCATTTTCTAGGTTTCAAAAGGTTTTGGATCAGACCCTTACAGAACAGTCTACAACTACCCCTGTGCTACCCCCACTTGGTGTCATCTACTAGTTGTAGATATGCTAAAGGGTAGGGCTAGGATTCTGAGTGACCTATACAAATTGGAGGATTGGACCAAAAGAAAGCTAATGCAGTTCAACAAAGACAAATGCAAAGTCCTGTGCTTAGGATGGAGCAATCCCATGTACCAGTACAGGCTGGGAACTGACTGGCTAAGCAGCAGCTCTGCAGAAAAGAACCTGGGGGTTACAGTGGACAGTAAGCTGAACGTGAGCCAGCAGTGTGCCCTTGTTGCATAGAATGCCAACGGCATACTGGGCTGAATTAGTAGAAGCGTTGCCAGCAGATCAAGGGAAGTGATTATTCTCCTCTATTCACCACTAGTGAGGCTACATCTGGAGTACTATGTTTCGTTTAGCTGCCCCCCCCCCCTCCTCCCCTTTACAGAAAGGATGTGGATAAATTGGAGAGTCCAGCAGAAGGCAATGAAAATGGTTAGGGGATTAGGGTACATGATTCATGAGGTGAGGATGGGGGAACTGGGCTTATTTAGTATGGAGAAGAAAAGACTGAGAGGGGGCTTAGTAGCAGCCTTCAAATACCTGAAGGGGAGTTCCAGAGAGAATGGAGCTGGACTGTTCTCAGTGGTGGCAGATGGCAGAACAAGGAGCAATATTCTCAAGTTCCAGCAAAGGAAGCTTAGGTTAGATATTAGGAGACATTTTCTCACTAAGAGGGTAGTAAAACACTGGAACAGGTTATCCAGAGATATGGTGGAATCTCCATCCTTGGAGGTTTTTAAGACCCAGGCAGCCTTGGTTGGGATGATCTGATTTGGGATGGTGCTGCTTTGAGCAGGGGGTTGGACTAGATGACCACCTGAGGTCCCTTCCAACCCTAATTTTCTATGATTCTATGATTCTGTATTCAACCTGGAATGGATGCATATTTGTTCATATCAGAGGATTTTATTTTTGATACCTGAGACACACAACAAAATAATGACTTTGTATTTGCTCTCAAGGGTAGCTTTTACAGGGACCAATTTGTGGGTGTGGTTGACTGAAGGAAAATGTAGCATATCCAGCTTCGAAAGTAACTTCAAACTTGCTGTAAAATAATAGTACAGGAAATATTTTCTTCAAATTTTTCTTTACAATCCTTTTTTTCAGTTGCACCCACAATTCAGGAACTTAAATCAAGTGGTGTGATGCTTGGAGGTAATGGATTGATAAGATGTGAAGGTGCGGGAGTTCCTACTCCAGTCTTTGAGTGGTACAAAGGAGAGAGAAAGTAAGTAACCTGTATGTCTATATTTATGTATAAACACTGATACATCTCTACTGTTTTTTCTGAATGTTATAATGATTGTAGTAGAAGGGGCTTCAGTAGTTTCTTACAGTATTAATGTTCAGTTGATTTAGGATAATTTCAATGAAGAAACAAAGTACAGAATGGGAATAGTACCTCAAATCACTTCAATTATTGTATAAAGAAGTGTTTAGATAAGATATTAAATGCATTTTTATCCAGCTATGGTTATCACCACCTACCTGGTTTTAGATTGGGGACCTGTAGTTTGATTCTTTGACCCAGTTTCTGAAATCTTTCTGAATTTTTCCAAAGGCACCATCCCCACAGACAACCAAATCAGCTGTCTTAGAACACAGGGCACATCTACATGTCACCGTACAGCACTGTGTCTTAGTACTTCCTTTTGCAGCACGCGGTTACATTTTGCCACTATATCATCGTAGTGGTACGCTATACCCAAGGAGCACGCTGTTATGGTGACGTAGCTAGTGGTCACATGTAGACGCATGTGATTGCCATGTTGCCATAGCATGATTATTGGATTCTCCCTACTAAATGCAGTGAAGAAACCAAATCATCAATCAAAAAAAAAAAAAAGCACTTAAAGGATCCCATCGTTATAGGGATCCCAAGAGAATTGCTCCACCATGCTCAAACAGTTGAAGTGAAAGAACTATGAAGACAAAAAGTTTAGCCTTCGTTAAAAATCCATGTTGGACAAGGGACTGAAAGCAGCTCTCCTAGCAACCAGGAAAACCATCAAGAAAGTCTTTGCCAGCACCCGGCTGCTCAAGAATAGTGAGAGGGGAGAGCTCAGCTTTCACTTCAGCAACAGGAAGGGAAAGGGAGAGTATTCTGTTCCCAGCATTCTGATAACAGCCAAGAGGAAAAATGTTAGATGCAAGTTTCTCCTAGCTTGAACCTAGTAGGATCAGAGTCAATATAAGTTAGATGTAATATGCACCATATCAGAGTAGGTTTAGCTGCAGGAATGACTATTTATAGCTAGGGACAGAAATTACACATGAACCAGTAAAAGTGATTGGAAACCAGTTCAAATCTGTAACACAGCAAAAGTTCAGTGCACATAAACTGCTTTCAAAATGACCGTAACCAGTCTAAGATAATCCTGGATGGATGTAGTATCAGACTTAACTGATTTAGGTTAAATTGGTTTATTGAACTTCTGTCCCAGATCCTCTCTAGATTCAAGTTAACTCACAGTCCCCCAGCGCCCCAGGATCTTTTCCACCTCCCTTGCAAACCTCCTCCACTTGCATGGTGGGCAGGCTAGCCTTGGCCCAAGCTGTCTGCTTCCGCCAAGCAGGAAGGCATGCTCTAGTGCCCCCCAACTATGGGCCTGTGCCACAGCAGCCATGTGGCTGCATTTCCAGAATCAAAACTAAACGTCTGTTCACTTGATTATCATTCAATCTAAGCAGCTTCGACCAACCTGCAAAGATTGGATCAACTGAACTTCCGGCTTTTTGACTGTCTGTACTTAGTCTATATGCATTCATCAGTATGGCATAAGAGCAATATTTGTAAGTTGTATAAAGAATTCTATAGTTGTGTATATAATATTATTTGCCATATAAGTAATTTAAAAAAATCATTGAGAGGTTTGGCCCAGTGTTCAGGATGCTAGACATGGGCTTATGTCCCTGTTTAATCTTATTGTCCTGCTGTACTACAAGATTTTGTAATATGAATACGTCATTTAACATAATTTCCCAACTTTAAACTAGTGTTGGCATTGCCCTTCCTCAAAAGCTGTCATGAGAACAAATACATGAAAGCTGCTGAGGTACTAAGATATTGCAGTAACAGGGGGCATGCAAGTAAGTACCTTAGGTAGAAAAATATAGTGAACATTTTCACAAAAAAGACAAGCGTTTACTATCTTGACAATTTTATCTTGGGGGAGGGAAGCTGTCTCTTCAACCTAAAAGCTTTGTACCTATAAAATTTAAGTTCTACTTTTTGTGGCCTGAGGAACAGATCCTCAGCTAAAATAAATTTTAATAGCACATAACACCAGCTGAGAATATGGGCCAAAGTGGACTTTTTCCTCTCAGTTTGGACACTAAAAATCAATAATGTGTTTCATTTTTGTTTATAGTCACTTTTTACTGTCTGGCCTTTAGTTCTAGGTAGTTTGAGCATCCTTCCCTGCACAGGCTTCTTTATTTGTTTGAAAGCAAGCTCTCTTCTTTGGATTTAAGTATTGGCATAAATGCAAGTTCATGGTATTCCTTTAAAGCATATGCACACTTCCAACTCAGCTTTTGGAATTTCCTGACTTTGGAAAGCTTGATTTCTTAGGCTTAGCATTCCATTAATGCTGGCATTTGTCAAACAATATTAATAATCATTCTTCACACAAAACAATTTGTCAGCTCATTTCTCACTGGCCAGCAGCTCCCCACGTTAGCTGTTCCTTTTCCAGCATAACTTCACATACTAGTTGTGGCTATAACAGTTTTGCCCTTGAAGTGATGTAACTGATGCTCAGTACTTATGATAACAGAACAGTATTTTTTTCTGGAGTTAACTGCCAACATTCTGCTCCAAAAGGCCTATACTTCTTCTCTCACCTGTATTACACCAAGAAAAAACCTTCAGTTTCTCATGAGAAGTTTGTTTTACACACAGTGGGCACATCTGCACAAGATGCTTAATGTGCAGCAGCCTAATAACACTGCAGAATAGCTTGTTGGGCAAAAACCATGCTAATAAGCTACTGCGCAGTGTTCTTATGCTACCATGCAGCAACTGTCACAAAAAACCTGTGCACCAGCGCTACTGCGCAGTAAATGTAGGTACTGCACATTCAGGTAGTACTTCATTAAGGAAGTACTAAACTAAATGCACATTAACTATGGTGCATTAGTGAATGTGCAGACACACCCACAGTGTTGTAGCTCTTCTTGTAATGACTATTACACAGTTCTGGATCAAACTGAACTGCTCTTATTTAGTGTAAATGATATTCAATAAATGCACAGATTTGACCGATTCCCTTTTCCATATATAAGCATAATGACAGCAGTGAGACTCAATAGGCAGTGCATTTCAGGACAGTAGAGGCACTGCCTCCTGCTTCCAATTCATCTGAGGCTTTCTTTGTTCATCTAGGTATGCACTATCCCACTGCAACTAATTGCTTAAGTAGCTGCTGGTACATGCTTGTGTTAATTCTAATAATACACCGTTTTTGTAAAACTATTATTTATAGACACCCTACTAACATTGTATCCAATACTTCCTCTGAAAGAATCCCTTCTGAAAGAGGAAAAAATTGTACAATACCATGCTCATAAAACTAGTTCACTACTGAAATGCCAAAGTGAGAAGTTTCAACTTTCAGTGACCTTTCAAGACACATTCATTCAGAGCAGTTTACGGGGGTGGGCAAAATACAGCCCATAGGCTGGATCCGGCTGCCAACTGACTGGATCCCGCCTGTGGGAGATGGGCACCAATTGATTCCATCTGACTTGGAGCTGCCCCACGGCTATTCGCATGGGGCTAAGCCTAGCCTCAGGCAACCCACACTGCGCTCCACCTTACACCTGCCAGTGTAGCCCCAGCCAGCACGCACAGTTTCCAGTGGGGCTAATAGTGTGGCTGCAGCCTCCGGGGTGCTGCTCCACTCCCCTTACATCCAGCGGCTCTTCCTGCTGCACCACTCGTGGCTGGGAGGAAGTTCCCAGCTGTCTTCCACCCACTCCACTGCACTAGGCAGGTGGAGTGGGTAGAAGACAGCAAGGAACTGGAGCCAGATACCTGCACATTGGGGCTGAAGCTTCCTGCCAGCCAAGGAAGGAAGGAGAAGGAGCAGGAGGAGGATCCAAGGGGAGCAGAGAGGCACCCAGGCAGCTGCAGTTTCACTGGAAGCAAGCCCACCAGAAGCTGTACATGCTGGCTGGGGCCGGGCGAGCAGGGACAGCTGTGGACCACACTGCCTGGGTGAGCTCTACAGCACATGCCTCCTGCCCCTCCTCCCTCCCCTCATCCCTGGCCCCACTCCTGGGACCTAGCACTCAGGCAGTTCCCCCTCACACACACACATGTGCGCTCACACACACACACACACACACACACACACACACACATACATGCACCCCTCACACCAACTTACCCACACAGCACCCCCTGCCAACGGCCTCCCTACAACACTGCCCCATGATGCTAGCCTCACCTGCCCATCTTACTCCTGAACCACCTACTCACTCCCTGTCCACCCATGGCCCCATCCCACGTAGGGAGATTTGTTGAGTTATTGCAGCTGGGTTTGTGAAGGGGGATGGTGCTGACCCTGCCTACAACAACTTGTCAAAACTCCCTATGTGGATTATACTATAGGCATCACTGAAGTCATATGCTAAGAAGTTTAGGGCCCAAATAACTTCCTACTAAAGTTATTAGAAAGACTCCCATTCTTCAATGGCACCTAAATTAGAGACTGGCACCTACATTAGTGGTGGGTTAATCTTTGAAACATTGAAATGTTGAGGTAGTTTGAATAAGGACTCAGGATTTTGGATCTCTCTGAAATAATGGGGCCTGCTGTGTCTGCTGACTATATTTATTCACTTTGATCTAAACAACAACATAATATACCTTTCCAGGTGAAGGAGCCCTGCTAGCCATTCAAAACAGTAATTAAATATATAAATAAATAAATAAATAAAAAGTCAGTAACCCACCTGTTGCCCTGGGGGGTCAGGCTCAGGATCTCAATATTGTGCTGTTAGACAGGGTGTGACAAAATTGTACATATACAAAACACACACAAATCAATTAGGTGCATACGCACACACACACACACACACTACCAGCTCAGGCACATACAAACCAGCACATGCATACCTATCACCAATTCAAGCACATACACTATACACCCCAAAAGTTAGACACAGATCACTAATTCATATATCATGCACACAATGCCATACATATATATATATATACAC